GGAAAAAAAAGGGGGGAAAAGGGGGAAAAAAGAGCAGGTTTAAAAAGAGAAAATATGGGAAAAAACATGAACTAGGATGTTAACAAAAAATTTAAAAAACCCCTCAAGAGAATAAAAGGTTTGGGAGGTCGGGCAGGGGGGGGAGGGGGGGGGGAAGAGGGGTGGGAAGGAGGGGGAAAGGGGATGGGGGGGAAATGAAAAGATTTTTTTAGAAAGGGGGAAAAAAGGCGGGAAAAAAATGTTTTTTAAATGTCTATTTGTTAGAGAATTACTTCCCTTTTTTGGGTTTTTTTTTTATTAACAAAAAAAATTTTTAATTAATTTTTAAATTTAAAAAAAAAACAAACCCCCCAAAAACCATTTGCTACTTCAGGGTTAAAAAAACCAATGTGAAAAAATTTTTGGCACCCCCTTTTCCACTTTACAGCCCCCCAAAATTTTGACCCCTTTCGGGCTTTTTAAGGGGGTGTTTTTTTTTTCTTTTTTCTTTTTTCCTCACACATATCAAAGTTTTGGGGCCCCCCAAAAATAACTTTTTGCCAGGATAGTACAAAAAACCCCCCCCCCCCCAAAGGGGGTTCTTTTTGGAAAGTAAAAATTTCCCAAAGGAATTTGAAAAAGGGGCATGGTGAGTATTTTGCAGAAATTTTTTTGTCAGGGGGTTTTTGGGGAAATAAAAAAAAAAAAAAGAAAAAAAAAAATACATTTTTGTTTCTTCCTTTTTTTCCCAAAAAATTTTTTTGTGGCAAAAAATAAAAAAAAGATTGCAAAAAACTCCCCTGCCTTTTGGAAAAAATCCCTTTGGAATTTGTTATTTTCCCCAAAAAGGTTTTTGGGTCATTTGCCACCCATCCCCCATTTTTCAAACCCCCTTTGGGAAGGGAACACCCTTTTTTCTGACCCCCTTTTTGGTTACATAAAAAAAAACATTTTTTTTTTTTGCTAGGAAAAAATTTCTTTGAACCCCCAAAAAATTTATTTTGTTTTTAAAACAATGGCCCACAGGAATGGGTTTTGGGGGGGGGGGGTGTTGGTATTTATTATTTTAATTCATTGCAATTTTTTTTTTTTTTAATCACTTTTATGTTATCACTGGGTAATGTAAATATTCCCTGTGATCGCAATAAGCAATGACAGGTATTCTGCTTACCATGCGGCGTTGCTGAGGGATTCCCTGCAGCGCTTACCTTGTCCTTCGCTCCCACGATGTTCCTCCTTCAGCGTCCCGGCCATCTCCTCCGGCCGATGCCGGCATCCGGCTTCTGTGTTCCAGTCCCTGTGACGTTGGGACGTACGGGGGCCGGAACCGGCGGCAAATGAAAAATTTTTATTTTTAAAACTGTCATTTTTTTGTAAACGAGTATTACATAGCAAAACATTGCTGTTTCAAAGCATTTCACATACATTTTGTCCCTAGTGCTTTGTCCCGTGCCCTGCCTGCATTTTGTCTGTTCTTTCTGCCTGGAAACTTAGAAAAGTCCATGGCGTCCAAAAAGTGTCCTTTTAGGTCAAAGCGGTTTTAGACCGACTAGAGATCAGCGATAGTAAATCAGAACCATTTGCAGAATTGAGTGATGATTCGTGGGGAAATTAGTCATCAGACACTGAAAACGATTTTGCGACTTTGCTCAGCGATGTGTGAACTTGGCGCTATATTTCAAATGTCATTGTTTTTGGTTTGATTATATGATTGAATTAAAGTTATTATTATATTATGATTTTTTATGATTATTTATTAAATTATAATTTATGATTTCGTGTTTCAAGTTTTATCATATCCGGAATGTTTACTAGACTCTTGTTCGGACAGATTTCAGTGAGTTATTCCTAAAAATTACAGGCCTGCAATAAAAAAACTACATATTTCCATGCAAAATAATGGTACCGCTTTCAGCACCAAAAATCTGAAATAATCATACCGCCAGGGAGGTTAAAGCATCTGATCACACCAAGATTGGTGTGATCAGATGCTTTCCAAATTTAAAAATGGCACTGTTAATATCCGGCGAAATAGAAATTATGAAATTCTTGTAGCTTCCGGTTTCATAGACCATAGAGATGTTTGGAGCCATTCTAGTCTCCGATCAGCTCTATGGTCAGCTGGCAGAACTGCCGGCTGCATTCTCAGATTCCCCTGTGGGACGGGAGAGCCCAAGAAAGCTGTGGAAGGCGGCGGAAGGGGGGTATCCTTTCCTGCTGCTTGCAAAAAACGATCTGGCAGCTGATGAGCCAGTAGGATTACTTTTACATGAAAGCCGACCACCAGCTGAAACAAATAATACCAGGATGACGCCTGTAGCTGCAGGCATCATCCCGGTATAACCACTCAAAGTCCAGCAATGTACCAGTATTTTGCTGGTCCTTGTTGGGCATATATGCAACAGCAGAGAATATGGGCAAATGATGAATCGGGTTTGTTAACTAGTATGACCACAATTCCTTCTTTTTTGTAATGCCCATGTTGAGGGTTAGGACCCAAAATTCAGAAACCGTGATAGGTTTCCATGCACATTTTCTGGCAAGAGATGAATTTTTGGGTGGGCGGCAATGTATTGTTGTGTATAAATTGCTTTGGCCCACAAACAATTGATACAAATCTTCCGTGAAAAACAGCAGAGGGGCTAAATACTAGTGCTGACAGCGAACCTATCTTACACTGCTTTTTTGTGGACACTATACAAAGGAGGCACTGGTATAGTTCTGACCGTGGTCAATAGATTGATATGTACAAATACTATACTAGTAATGGCGATGAGTACAATAGTGTGCAGGCAATCTAGCGCTAGCTGACCCTGGCTGGGAGGGGAGCTTACAGACCCTGATGTTATCTGATGTCGCTAGTGGCAGTAATACAGTGATATACTGACACTGTACTAATGGCATTAGCTGGTTGACGGGGTGTTCAAAGGGTTAATGGAGTGATCAAAGGGTTAAATGTGCTATCCAACGTGTGCGTGTAAAATGCAGTACTTTTGCTCACAGTGCAGTGTTCTTTCTTCTCTCCCTGGACCAATGGGGGGCAGAGGGGGCGCAGCCACGTTTACAATCCAAAATAGAAAGCGAAATAAGGTTACGTCGATTTGCTCAGAGCTGCTGCTCACCCACACAATGCGGGCAGGTGGTCAGCAAGTGGTAAAGACAAAAATCTCAATACAGTATTTTTTATTTTATTTTTTTTACTTTTTTTTTTTTTTTATTCATTTTTTTTTTCTTTTACAATGTTTACTGAAAACAGATATTTCAAGACAGTGTAGTACAAGGCAAAAAAAAAAGTCATATAGCCACTACATATCAATATCCGGCAGGAAGGGATCCTTCCCACCCCCCCCCCCCCCCCGCTCCTCTGTATTAGTTACGCCCTAAGGAGCAGGTTTCCCACTAACACTACTGATAGGTCCCACCCACGCCTGAATAATAGGCATAGGGATTAAGTATCACTGAACATCCACTGGATACACATTGTATATAATGGAACAGATGAACATAAAGGCAAAGTAAGCTGTAACTAAACAACCTCAAGAAATTCCCAGCTACCAACTATAGTCATGACTTGTACCAATATAGAGATACAAAATCATTACACAAAAGAAAAGAGAAAACATAGTCACGGAAAGAGCAAAAGAGGAGGAAGGAGAGTGACCCCGTCCCTGCCCACCAACCCCCAGATGACCCCCACTAGCTAGGGGGATTGGAGGTACCTGATCCAGGGGGTCCAAATCTTTTCAAATCGGAGCTGTTTATCCTGGAGGATACTGACCAATTTTTTATTAATCATAATCCAGGAGATTCTGTGTTTAATGCAGTGCTGACCGCAGGTGTTTTCCATGCTTGAGCCACAGTGATCTTGGCCGCTGAAAAGATAAAGGCGGCGGCAAGGATCCTGAGATCTTTGGGCTACTCGCTCGACAGGGCGGAGAATAATGCCGTCTTGGCATTTTTGGGGATATTCTGTCCAGTTACTGAATAGAGTATATTAAATATTCTGGTCCAAAACTGTTGGACCTTTGGGCATTTCCACCAGATGTGGAACATAGAGCCTTCTTGCCCACATCCCCTAAAGCATAATGGAGCGACATCGGAATAGATCTTGGCTAACTGTGCTGGAACGAGATACCAAGGGGATAACACTTTATAGTTTGCCTCCACCAAGAAAGTGTTGAGAATCCCCCTGTGCACCATAGTAGACCACTGGGATCAGACATCTTCCTCTATGGGTTCCCTTAGCTCCAATTTTCAAGCCACTTGGTAAGAGAGTTTGGGTCCCTGTTCTGCAAATCGGGACAGGAGTATAATTCTGTGATACTGCCACGTGTGCCTGGCCTGCGCAGACATCTATTCTCATATAGGGTTCTGGTAGCAATGTCCCCCTGGGCTGGACCTAAAGTCTGTAGGGGTCTCTGAAGGGGTCTGAAGAGGGCATTAATAATGTCTTGCGGAAGTAAGAGAATGGCCTGATTCCCTTGTGGTCTATATAGTGAGCTATTCTATAAAGACCCTTACTAACCCACCATGCACAATTTTGGAGGTGTATTCCACAGAGAAAGCGGTGTTTCCCAAAAAAGGGCATCTACCAAAGTATGTGGGCATTTCAAGGGGTATATCTTTCACACTGTGTCCCAAAGGCCCATGGAGTGAGAGAGGAGAGGATAGGACTAAGAAATGCCTTGCGTTCCCTAGGAGATAACCATAGAAGGAGGTCAATAGGAAGTGGAGAGCTGGCTTGCACTTCCATCCTAACCCAATCAGGTTTAGAAGTATCAGAAAAGATTTGATAAAGTTGAACTAAATTGGGCTGTCCTATAATAGCTGAGAAAATGAGGGACTCCCATACCCCCCTACATTTAGATGCAATGCGCGAGCTACCCTACAACCTCCAGAGCTCCAAATAAATTTAATAATTAGAGATTGAAGTTTCCTCATATATGCCAGTGGAACTGGGATCAGAGAAGATCAGAAAAGGTAGAGGATTTTGGGGAGAGTTGTCATTTTTACCGCTGCTA